CTCGAGAAACGTCACAGAAACCCAAAAAACACTGTATTTTCTTCGGTAACTTTGATAAATGTCTGACTACACACGGGTCCCGTTCTACTTGCAACGCCAGGCGCTAGGTCCGCCTGGTGATATACACGACTACTCTACTTTCTCTCGCGTTACGCTGGATTCTTTGTGTCCGACCTAAATATCCTCGTGCCAATTCGCACTTTCCGCGCTGCACGAGTCGAAACGTAAGGCTATTCTTGACTAAACAGTGGCCGAGGAAAAAAGCAGCAGGCTTTTACCTCGCCCTCTATTTTACGAAATTTTCTCCAAACTCTCGGCTGTGCACTCAACTCGTCAAAATGTCGCGTTCAAAACTAGGATTCTAGGAAGACGAACACCTACACAACGAATAGACGGTTCCACATGGAAAGGACAAACTGTAATAAAACGTAGCGAACGACAAAAGCGAGTGGCGTGAAAGAAAGACGCGCGAGCAGCTGAAAAGGAAATCGAAATGCACGAGTAGCGAGTCACTTAGTTACTCGACGCCCCTTTCCACTACCTTTTCTTCTTCTTTCCGTGTTCCTGCTTTGGCCTTTCTCTCGACGCAGCGCGATTTTCCCTCGAACGTAATTTCCCGGGCATCCAACCGACCGGATTTCGCTTTCGTTTCTTGTTTTGCGCTCCGCCAGATCTCGTTTCCTTGTCAGCCGCTGTCAGAGCAGCGAGTCGACGACGTATCCCGCAACCGACGCGCGTTGCCCTCGCTTTTCCATGTACTTATTCCGTTCAAAGGACAACGAGGATCCTTGGCAAAGAATGGATGACGAAAACAGATCCGACGAGAAACAATTATCCCGCGATCGAACGAATGCCAGTCGGTTGCCAAAGCTTTTGACAGTCATTCTATTTACCTGTCACGTCTATAAATGACGCGTCGCAGCCCTATCGACGGCGTCGATCGAGTTCGCGCTTTTTCAAATATCACGAAAAATGGATTTGAAAAATCACACGGCTAGCGAGTTTGTTGATAAAAACGAGCCGCGATAATCGATCCGAATCATTAATTTTGGTTACGTTGCGCCACAAAATAACTACGGATAAAGCGGAACGCGAATTGATAGGTATTCGATGGCGCGATGAAAAGTTTGTAGCATGTAAACCGGCGGGAAATCTCGATAGACATCGACTCTGCTTCGGCAAAGTTGTAACTGAAATTCGCGGACTCGATGACTAACTAGCTACCGATGGAAACTCGTTGAATAATTCCGCGTTATTGATGCTCCCTGAATCGTGAATTACCACTCGTTCCTGTTCGACTCCAACCGATGGCTTGGTATTTCACAGCTCGCGATTCTGCGTCGGGTTACTATTCTAATTTCCTATAATTGCAGAAAGATACGCTGATGAAATAACAGACAGATAGCGTCGCGTACCAACTATTCGATCATTTCCACAACAACCCGTAAATACTCTTTCTCAGACTGCAACGTAATCAACCTTTGCCTCGACTAACAGCCAACGTAGAACTAATACCTAATCAGTGGCAGTATCGCGTACTGGAATATTTCAATAAATTTCAAGCATCAGAAACTGCCATTTGCTCGACAAACTCGTTGAGAAACGAATATAGAACCGTAGTACGCGGCTTTCGTCCAAACGAACCAAACAGAGATCGAATCGTTGCGCAACGCCAACTCGGTAGTCGATCGCGACGCTTGATAATAATCAGATCGCCAAACACGGAACGGCTACGATTGTTACGAAACTCGTCACACCGCAATTACACCGGATCAATGGAACACGCGAAATATCCGTTTCCGGAGCGATCGTGTCGAGGGGATCGTAAGGATTATACATTCCGTATCTGTCTGCTGGATCTAGCCAACTCTGTCTGCAAAGCGTACAGTCAAGTTGGCTACGAAACGGCGAAGATCAATACGCGAAACGATCGTATTAGAATATTACGCGGAGAGATAGAAGGATAGTGGTAGGTTTGGGGGGAGGGTGAGCCTCGTTACGTTTCCGCGTCACATTCGCAGAACGTTATATCAACCATCGGAGAGAGAAGAGACCGTTTTCGATATTACAATTTGAGTTTCCGCGAATGTTTGTGCGGTGGGATTCGCTTGTTAAGCGCATAGTCGACCCTTGATGAAGAATCTTCTATGGAAATTGCATGTCCAGACGGTCCACGGTAATTAATATTTTTCGTTGGGAACAGAGGGCAGTCTTTGATGAAGGGTACTTTGTTTAATCTCGTTGCTCGACGGGCTTAGGATCACAATTAGTCTTTGATGAAGTGTTCGCTGTTTAGAACTACCGTTTCGCTGGACCGTTGTAATTAATGGTCCTCGTTGGTAGTTTATTTGAAATTGAGGAGAATTTTGAGGATCAATTAACTCGATGATCCTTTCCTTAATAGTTGGAATTGAATTCTGTTTATAATTCGGCTTGTTTCTGTGAATTCTGTTCTAAGTAAAGTTTTCTAATACTTTCTTCATTGTATTATGCGTATAATAATTTTCGACGTAAAATTTCACCTTCCTTTCAGATTAAAAGAGGAAGAAAGAGAAAGATAGAGGACACGGAAGACGATGGAAGTCTAATTGAAGGGTCTCGTCGCATAGCGCAGTGAACGCTTTAAAACCCGAATGACGCAAATGAAATTCGTGTCAGTGAACATTTCTCATTCGACGATGCGACGTCTTCTCGAAAATGGTAGCGCTTTATTCAGACACGCGGCCCGCCAAGACAATCTTCCCGGTCGCGTCTCCGACTCAAACGTAATCAACATGGTCACGTGCGCGTGGCCCTGTATCCATTCAACTCGCACCAGAGAACCGTCAAAGCGTTAATTACAATCGCGAACATTAAGCATCGAGCCGTAGGTGCAGCGGCAGCGTCGCTGTAATTTATCGTTCATAAACGACGTCGCGAGCTCGATTGCGACGTGAGCAAGCGATGCATTTCTGTGCTGACCTATTCTAAACGCCATGCTCGTTATATGCGTGTCAGGCAGTTATATTTCTTTCTCTTTCTTTTCTTATAATTTCATCAGATTTCGTGCAGCAAGCGAATCAATCGCCTGCAAATACAATGTTCGATCTAAAACGTTTGTGTACGATCGTTTGTACTTTTCTCCACTGTGAGTTCAGCTTTCATAATGAAATAGCAGTAGAATGTCTCAAGTCAGTCGATAGTCGTTCGATATTCTGATGGAGACACGATAAAGAATCGAGGTCGCAAAGGCTCGCGACAGTTTACGTAGTAATTTATAAAATATCCAAACAGATGCCGTGCTATGATTCACTCGTTCTGTTTACTCGACTATTCCTGCTATCGTTCAACCTTACGTAGGCTTGTTTGACCAGATACGATCTTGTTCTACTTAAATCTATTTCGAACACCGAAGACTAATAATTAGGCGGTTATTGTCCGATCAGAAATAGACCTCTTCCACCGTGGCAACTTGGTTTCTCTTATCTATTTGTTTTATCTATTCAGCAAACAGTTAAGCTATTTTCTTGCCGCTAGATTTCTCATAGTTTACCATAATCGTCACTTTCACGCGACATCGCGTTCGCTTGATTTCGAGAACGCGTGCACGCAAATCCAGCTAGTGGAACTCTGGCACACGTTCAAGAACACGAAGGAAACGAGTAGCAGGAAGGAAACGGGGCAAGGGAACGACTAGACGAGTGGGTGCTCAAAGAACGACAAGCCTAACACGTGTCTGTCGAATACGCTTCGCCGGTGATTTACGCGCGACGCGACTTCCTCGCGTTTCCGCCAAATACGTGCCACGAAACGATCCATATATCCGAGGAGAAACTTCAATTTCAACATAACGAATACCTTTACCTAACGGAAAGAGTCTACAGAATCAATTACTCACAAATCAATTACCGAATTCTTCCCCAACAACTTCGGCTTCCTCGAACTCGTTGCTCGACTTCCCAAGAAACTCCACAGGCACCGAGCGATTCTGCAAGCGTTAAAACGGTTCGGACGACTTGGGACGAGCGAAGAGGATCTACGAATCCAAAGATTCCGAAGAAGTTGGCGCGTGAAAAAGGCTGGAATAGAAAAAACACTCGGACCGAGAGAATAATGGAAGAACGTGGTGGCTGGCGGTGACGTTGGCGTATAACTCAAATCCGAAGGCCCAGGGATATCCCCTCTCGAATGATTTCAGCGTGTAAAAACCGGCCCGGTTCTTGCACTCTTTGCCCATCGTTCTCGGACCAAAGAATTCCCCTGCGAAGGGACATCGAGCGAAGACGTTCGATTTCTTCTCTCGAACCTCCATAACTGGAAAGTTTGATGGTACATCGCAGTCGCTGAAACGACTACCATAACGACGACACGTATTTCGCACGACCTCCTATCTTCTTCTATCGACTTAATGCGTTCCTCAAGCTGAAGAATATCATCTTAAGAAGAGGGGTTCCTCGTTATAAACCGTGTTCCATGAACCCGGCACCCGCTTGCACTCTCGCGTCGAGTTTTCTTCCCCTCGTTTCGCTCTTCCTTTCCGTTCTTCCGCTTCGTTTTCTCGTTGGTATCGCGCTTCCCCGACGAAGGTTCCTTCCTCTTTTTCTTCCTCTCTCTCTCTCTCTCTTCCCTTCTTCCTCTTCCTCTATCCCTCGTGGCTCTTGCTCTCTGTTGCGAGAAAGAAGAAGAAGAAGACTGGAATCCAGGGAGATACACGTTCGAAACGAAAGCAGCCGGAAAGGGATTTTCAAGGGGCGCGAGATGTTAACAGCCAGACAGTATTGTCGTCGAGCCACACCCACGCGTCCTAATCAGAGCGCTTCGTTCCTGCTCGCGACTTACGCGGAAATTCGTGCAGAAGCGAATGGATTCGTTAGAAGCTGAATCGGTGTAGGTACTCAGAGAGCAGAATCGAAACGAAAACAGTTATATGAATGAATGTAAATGCGATCAGTTATAAGAATAGCTTGGCCTTCTCGATTAACACGTTGACTGCTACTCGTGTTTTCAATGAAATCCAGTACCAAGTGTTCTCTGCTACGTACTTCCATCGATATTTTAGTAATGCGAGTCGTTCAAGTGATGGTCTCAAGAATGATCTCTCGCTTCGTTTGTTCGGAACATTAAAACCAGTGGTTCTTTCGTTTCGTTTGTTCGCAACATTAAAACCACTAGCTGTTGTTGAATATAACGAAGGAAAGCGTGGTATAGATTATTCCGACCAAATGGTTTCTTATGCCACCACAATTAGAAAAGGAATCAAATGGTGCAGAAAACTTGGCATTCAACTCCTTCTGGGAATTTCTGTTGTAAACGCTTTGACGGTTTAGAAAATTACAACAAGGAAGGATATAAATATTAGAATATTTAGAGAATCACTAGCTGCAGAATTATTAGGGTTGTCTGAAAATACAAAAAATCCTTGTCTTCGACGGAGTCAGCATAATATCGCCGTTCGGAAAAACGATTCCGGAAGAAGCATTAGACGCGCGTGCAAACTATGTTATGCGAATAAAAGACGTCGAATGGACCGAACAAAGGCAGAAAAGAATTTGAAGAAAACAACAACTTATTGTCCAAATTGTCCCGACCAACCTCAGCTATGTATAGAATACTTTAAAGTTTTACATTCTAAATAATTTTTTTAATACACCAATTTCGTATTACTTTTATAACAATTCAATAGTTTTATTATTTCCTCTGGAATATCTTCTCAAATACCTACGACGATCCTTCGCAAGTAGTCAAATAAGCGCCACCCGAATACAGAAACAGTAATCAGATAGAAGAAACATCCTGCACGCCACAGCTATCGAAATAATACCCAGACAGTAACGGAATAGCCGCCTCTGATATACATTCGACGATAACCCCTCCAAATGGACTAAAACCTCAAGATAAAAACCCTCTTAAATTAGCGCTCAAGACATTATTCTGTTGTAACACTTTGAACCGTCACTCTGTTGGATTTATATAATAAAAATTCCATCGTCATATACGAAGTTCAATTTCTTCACCATATTCGTGGAACGTTCGAACTACGACCCGAGGAGATCACCGGCGATCTATCGGTTTCGTGATTTCTTGTGTCTCCGACGTGACACAGTCAACGTGTTAACACTTTGACTTTTGCCACGTTGGTCATATATGACCGGCCACGGCTTCTTCTGTGATGCCACGGTAGTCATTGGTGACCGGAGCGCTTGAACTTCTTACAATTGTAAAAATTGAATGAAAATTGACAGTTAGGGCATTTCGAATATAACCGATGAATAGAAGATACTTTGAAATAAAAAGTGCCCCATTGAACAATTAAACATTTTTATTAGAACATCAATAAAAAAAAAAAAAAAAATTGGAACAAGTCTTGCATCTAACGGCGTACTGTGTCAAAACACTGTGGCGTCCTGAGAGAAACATGTGATTTCGGCGTGGCAGTCAAAATGTTAAATTGTTGGATTCATTTGTTCCTTGTGAGAAGCTTAGAAAAGCTGCAATAGAGCACGCGCAGCCCACGGAAGGGACACGGTAAAGAAATCTTCAATTTGAACGCCGGTGAATTCTCAAGATGCTGGAAGCTTCCGCGGCATAGGTTCGCGCAGTTAATGCTATTAAGAGCTTGCAACTGGGACGTTGTGTTCTTCCACAACACATGACGACGTCGTACGGCCAAGATTTCCGAGAATGTAAGAAGCCTAGTCTACAGAAGGCTTAATGTAAAGTCGCTATAACTCAAGAGTAAACGCGTGATCGCGTCGACTAAAAAACGTCCGTGCGATTTATATCGCGGCAGTTCGAGGTACTCCGTTAAAACGATCCGGAGATTCGGTCCGGAGCTAATTTCCCTTCCAAATCCAAGGGCCATCGGCGGG